CCCCCCCCCCCCCCCCCCCCCGCTGTAGTGCGCACTGAACTGTGCGACATCATTTGCTCTATCTGTTCCACCCCTATACATCCATGCCCAAAGCTGGAACATTCCAAGGGCCTTGATTAGGCTATGGCTATGAGCCACTTCAGGCTTGAACCCTGAGCCTTCAGCCCACAATCTTCCGCTCCCAGCTTCAAAGCCCAAACCTGCAGCCCGAGGGCTTGAACAACGTGTTTTAATACGTATAATATGACAATAAAGTAGTATAGTATATCTTTCTATCCATCTATCTATCTATCTATCTATGCATCTCTCCAGCTATTCATCTATCGATCTATCTATCTAACTAACTATCTATCTATCTATCTATCTATCTATTTATGTTTGCTGCTGGTTTAGGCTTTCGGCTACATCCTCCAGCTTTATGCCGCATGCCGTCAGCAATTCCTTCGGGTTCCCTTTGCTGCCGTGCAGCGGGGGCCCTTTGCCAGGTTGCTGGCCCTGCTGCACTCTTCGCGGCAAGCATGGCTGCTGAAGTCGCTCGAAAGCACTACTGCCAGGGTTTCATAGGGTTAGCTAGGGAAAACGTAGAGGGTGTAGGGGTTCAGAGTTCAGAGTTCATCCGCGCAAGGGGTTCGTTAGGGCTTCGAGCAGAAAAAGGCTATACCCGAAAAAACAGAAATCCTGATATTCCAGGCTGGCCGCAGTGCAGCCGCGCGCATGACTGCGGCCTTTCCCATCCCGGCATGCAGCGAGGCCTTCAGGTCTCTGCTTGCTTGGTAGAGGATTGAGGGCTTTATAGGATAAGTAGACGGGGCAGCAGCCGAGTCCCTTGTGAAAAATAGGATAAGTTGCCCCCTGATGAATAAACCTCCCGATCTTTTGGAGCCCAGCATCCTTATCCAGGGAGCGAGGTTCAGTAATCAGGGGGTCTACACTAGGCTTTACGGCTTTAGATTTTGCGGTTTCAGATTCAGGAAAAGGGCTCGCGCAGGGACATTGCTGATGACCTTGGAAAACCTTAGGTTGGCTTGAAAGCAATTTCTTTGTAAGCTGTTGACCTTGAAATTCGCCGTACTGTCAGTGTGTACAACTGCCGCCCGCGAGATTTCTGGGCCTCAGGTGCATTCAACCCTGCACCGAAAGCATTGCATAAAACGTGAGATTTCAGAGTGCAGTGAGCTTAGGAAGTCGGGGCCGAAAGCCTTGTCCGAACAAGCCAAGAATCTCAGGAGAGCGCGTCTGTCTGCCTTACCGATCATGGTGACGGTTAGGGCCTAGTTTAGCGCTGAAGGCTTAGGGAGAATGGGTCATGCAGATTTGCGAGGGCCAGGGCCAGCTCATTGGTGCCGAGTAGGGCTCGGTTCTGACACCCACTAATGATCTTTAATTTAGAGCTTAGGGCGGCCCAGGCCCGCCGCCACCGCATTAAACCGTGCCTGCTTTGCGAGTGCGCGAATCGAAACACGAAGCCCCAAATCACCTCGCTTGGCTTGTCCGAGTGTAGGCTCCGAAACGCCAGACCCTAAAACTAAAAAACCCATTATAGTATATAGTATAGTGTATAGTGTATAGTGTAATTATGGTATAGTATAGTATATACCCTAAAACTTAAAACCCCATACTCTAAACCACTGAAACCCCTAACACCAAGACCCAGTACCCCGGAGGTGCAGAAGGCAGAGCCGGCCCAGGAGCCGGCACCACGTTTCTTGGCAGGGTGGGATTCGGCTTTGGGTTGGGGTGTTTAGGGTTTAGGGTTTAGGATTACAGGTTCAGGGTTTAGGGGTTCAGAGAAACCTCGTTCAAAAAGGGTTTAGGGGTTTGCAGAAAGGGGTTTCAGGCTTTAGGGGTTCTTTCATTGGCCGGGCGAGCTCCAATCAAGCCTGTGTAAAAGGGGTTCTTTCATTTCAGACAACGAAAAGGATCTAAGCAGTAGACTCCCTACCCGGGAAGCCCATACTTGTGTGAAGGCTCAGAGCTTCAGCGTTGAGCTCTTAGGGCCATTTGGCCTTTAATGCTATGGGGTTTAGAATTATGTAGACGTATACAGGTTTGAATAAGATTCTAAGTCAAATTGTGCAGTGCTTTGGCGGTTTTTAGCGGGGTTAAGTGTGGTTTTGGGCTTGGTTTAGCAGAAACAGAAGGCGGAGACAGCCACGCGACGCTTCCTCCGCAAACTTTGGTTTCGCCTTTTCGGAATAGATACCGTCGTGGAAGTACTGCGAGACGTCGGAATTGATGTCGCAATGCCACCGTATGATGGGCCAAAGAACCAGCTCAGCAGGCCGAACAAATCCGCTGAGGGTTTCGGGTTTAGACGGCTGTTCCGGGCGAGAGAAGCCTGTCTTCCACAAATGCGCCGTGGGCAGGACGTAGTGCTGGAACGACATACCTCACACATCGGTGTCTTTCGATTCCTGCAGGCAGCGTAGAAGGTGCTAGTCTCATGCGAGCCACTACTGCGGCTGATGCATTGAATGCACTTTCAAAAAGTTGCCTTGCCACCCCTTTTTGTCACAGCTTTCCCTCTCGAAGCATCCTCCAACTGGTCATGCTTGATTTCATTTCTGAGCCCGAGTCTTCAGCGCACGATTTTGGGTGTAGGGCAGGCTAAATCCTGAACCTCGCGCTTGCACTTGCCGACAACAACGCTGATTTCTTGGGGAAGATCTTATTCCCAGATCACAAACGACACTCTTTCAACTCCCTTAAACCCTAAGCCCTAAGCCCAACTCCTCATCGTGACAGGGCGATTTCAGAAGATCCAAGGTCCACTGCGCCGGCGGCGCTCCTCTCTGTCCCTACCAAAGGGCGTATCTCGGGCCGAATGAGACTATTGAGGAGCTTCATGCCTAGGGGGGTTCAATCTTGGGATTTCAGGCTGTAGGATTTCGGAAACCAGAGTGTTAAAGCCGACTTGCGGGATTTACATTTTGGTTCCGCAAGATGTATGTATACGATGGCAGTATGGCTTCTGATGCCTCCTAAGCTGATCTAACAGCTTCCAGCTTCCTGGCCTCTTCCGGCCGTATTTGTCATTCATATGTTCGTACAGCCCAGAAGGTGTTGATGGAAGTCAGACGGCATTTGCTGAGCTTTTCAGCTAGACTTAGCTCCTAGTCCCTTCCCGGATTCCCCCTTTATTAAACACCCCGTAACAGTAAAAACACTTTCCGGAAAATCCCACCCCGAAATCATGCCACACCTTTTACAGCCTATTTCGACCGGAATTGCTCAGGGTTTATAAGGTTTAGTGGATAGTATCACCCCATTAAAACCCTCCGGAAAAGACAAACCTTTCTTGTAAAACCAAAAGAAGCCGTAAGTAGTGCTCCTCTTAAACCGCGCAAAGGGACTTGGATGAAGGAACCCTTATAGAGAGCCCCTATTTTGTTAGAGGAACCCCTTTAAAGGAACCCGAAACCGTAAAGGAGCCGAAGGCTTATAAAGGAGCCCTCAATGCCTTAGGGCACATGGGGCCGAGGAAACGAGGCTGGCGAAGAACGCCGCCTCCGCAAACCCCACCGCCTTGATCGAGGAGGATGCGGTATCTGCCCCTTGCAAAAATTCAGGGCCACTATAACCCTAACCCTCCAGGTACCTACTATATGGGGCCCTAGGGGCTCTAGTGCCCTATATGGTAGGTACCTGGGGGGTTAGGGTAAAGGTACTATAGGGCTACTATACTCTATGGGCTTCGGTGGTATCAGTCCGGCGGAGATTTGAAGCGCTACCATAAAGGTACGATACGGTTACTATACAGGCAGTTTGACAAATATAAGGGGTACTGTAAAGGTACTAGCAGGTTAGAGCGGGCATGAGAAGGGTACTCTTTAGGGGTTGTGATCAGGGAAAGTGCTGCAAGGGTACCAGAAGGTTGCTATAGGAGTTGTTTAGGATGGGACGATAGTGGACCAAAGCTGTATACAGTTAGGTTTATGAGTTCAGGTTCATCACCCTCAGAAAGAAGCTTGAGGTTTCGGGCTTAAAGGATTTTGATGTAAGGTTCGTGGTTGAGGGTCAGGGCTGAAGGCTTCCATGACTGACTTATGCATGGCTTACATACGCGCATCTGCATCCGCACATACATGGAACCTCCATTGGGCGGTTCCGGACCTGTGCAGGTCGGTTCACGCACGCACAACCCTATCCCCAACCGTGGGCCAGTCGACAAACAAACGAGTCAAAGAGCTAGCAATCACGCACACACACACACCCATATGTATGTATGTATATACATATATATATATATATGTATGTATATATATATATGTATATATGCATACTTACATACATACATACATACATACATACATACATACATACATACATACATACATATATACATGCACGCATACAGAAAAATGTGTATATATATATATATATGTATGTATGTATATGTTCATGCATACATACATTGACATACAAACATACAAACACACATGCATACATTTGTACATAAAGTTACACACATACACACACATGTGCATACAAACATGCATACATACGTACATACATACACATACATATACATATACATATACATATACATATACATACACATACATACATACATACATACATACATACATACATACATACATACATACATACATACACACATACCATGCTTGCACATAGTCAGCACTACAGTATCTCCTCGTGTTTGCAGCCCTCCACAGCGACACGCAGTGTATATATGCATGCACAGATTGTAACAGCGCAAACTGCTTAAGCCAACTGCTCAGAGGTTTACTGGCTTTACACCAAGACGTTTGACTTAGAGCGACCCTCAAGAAAATTAGCAACATGAAAAGACGGGTGTGTAGACATTGTAGGCCGTTTCGGAAGCACATGATCCGGGCTTCAGGAGTCTTTGCGTTATAAGGTTCAAGTTTGCACACGTCATCGCTTGTCTTTGCCGCTGCTTCGTGCTTCGTAGCAGAGATTCGTGCAAGTTTTTAAGACCGCTGCGGTCTGGGCTCCGAGTCTGAAGCTGCAACTGAGGTCCACATGGAAGTCCTGCCGAAGGGTGCGCTAGGACCGTCTATGGCCCCAGGTTGGGTTCCTTTCAAGTTGGGCGTCGGCGGTATACTGTGCAATCGAAACCTCACTGTGGCTAGGCTGAGTGCGTATAAGTGTGACTCCAAGCCCTTGTTTCGAAAACTCAAGTCCCACGAACCTTCAGGCCCCCACCCGGCAACCTTAACACTCTTTAACCCAAGAAGCCTCTTACCTAAATGCTGGGTTGGGTTACTGGCTTCCAGAGTAAAGGGTTAGTAACCTACTACTACTATTTAGGGAACTGAATCCGTAGGGCAACCAGCCCAAGCTGTAAAACATGCTCTCACCTGGACCTGGCGACCGAGGTCCCTTAAATCCGCACTCGTTTAGCCTCGCCTCGCTTTAATCGTTTCTGCGTGCTGCAAGCCGAGACCTTGGTCCATAGCCTAAGCCCCCCCGAACGCCTATGAGGGCCTATGAACCTTCTTTACACCCCAATGAGGACTGCCGCCTCCTTCACAACTGCCATCCTGGTGGCAAGATCTTGGCCTTCTTCGGGACGACCTGACATGAGGCTGAACCCGAGGCAGGCCCGTCCTTGCGAAGTGGGAGGCAAACCCAGCTGTCTTCTCTGTGACCCGAGATGAGGTCCCTTTTTGGGGTTAAAGTAAGGGCCTTAATCATTAGAATAAGGTTTGGGGGTCCATTATACTATAATTATAATAAGGAGCCCCCCAAATAGTATTGGTAAGTATTTAGGCCCCTATATTAACCCCCAATAAACCCCCAAAATAGTATTGGTAGTAGTTTAGGCCCCTATATTACTCATGGCAGGGTTGGGAGGTGGTGAGACTCGATCGGGCCTAGGGCTTTGGGGCCTTCAGGCTTGGGCTCAAGATCTGGGGCTCTTGGGTTCCCAGATGGCTCCTCCGGGTAAGGTTATACTATTATACTATTAAAAGGGTTTAGGGTCTAGGGTTTAGGGGGTTCCCAGATGCTCAGATGGCTCCGGGTAAGGTTATACTATTATACGATTAATACTATTCCCAAGGTTCCTTATGAGAGCTGTAGTATGATGTACCCCAGAACATGCTATTCTAATTATTTCGGCCCTGGAGCAATTGCTTTGACACCGCTGCAATAAGTCTTCGAGCATACGCATGGCTCGCGCAAGGTTTTGGTTTGCCGTCAAACATCTAAGATTCAATCCCGCTTATAGGAGGAGCTGGAAGCTCTCCTTTCGTTGTTCCACTGCTCACATGAAAATGCAGTGGTCGTTACCCGTCTTTTGGCAAGGCCTTTGTCCATGTGCTTGGCAATGGCAAGGACAATGCCATCAGAAACCGTTTAAGGTGATGTCTGATTCCTGTGCTGACCTGACCCCGACAGCTACAAGTCTCACAGAAGGAGGGCATATGGAGTTCGGTGGGTGTTTCGGGTGACCGAGTTTTTTGCGACATTGACCCAGTCGGAGCTCCGTGCCCCAAACCTGCAAGGCATCTTTGCGTTTTGGGTACCATAAACTTCCTAAACTCCAGAAGCCGAAAATTAAACGTAAATCCAAAGGCTCCGAACTGCGCTGCAATCTTTCCTGTTGGCGCAATTTCTGAAAGCTTAAAACGCAGAACCACAGCTTTAGCTTCTCAGTCCTGTCGACCGGGCTTGAGGCCACTGCCCATGATTTAGTGCAGGTGCACCGGCATCCCGACCAAGGTGGATGAGAGACGTTTGCAAAGGGACGTCGTGCATCAATCGGAGCCTCATTATTCGGCAAGTGGGAGTGTTGAGAGATGTTGGGAGTGTACGGTCTCGAATATGCGGCCTAGGAAGGTGTCACGCATGTAGCAGCTTGGTACAGCTTACCAACACCTCAGTACCCAATTTCGGGGTTTGATGTGTGAGCAGTGAGCGGTCACATCGTTCTGTGCAGAGACGACATCGGCATAGTCGGGCATCCTGGGCCTTGCATCCTAGTTCCTGGCAGAGAGCTAAGAGGACAGGGACTTGTTACTATGGAGGCCTAAACCATTACCTATGCTATTTTGGGGGTTCCTTATTATACTTACAGTCTAGGGGTGCCCCAACAACCGAATTCTAAGTATTAAGGCCCCTATATTATGCGCGCTGTTCGCATTCAGGGTCATGTCGCAGGCTCTGGGGTTTTGAGAAGTCCGAGGGCTCTTATGTCCCTTTTCGTGGCACTGCACATGCCGGTGCTTTTTAGCGTTGATTCTTTTCAGGTTCTGAAGAGCTTCATGCCAGAAAGGTGCCTATTTCGCAGGCTGCGACTGTGCATTCAACATTCCATGTTCCAACCTTCCTAGTTTCAGCATGCGCCGCGCGATTTGCAAAAGCTCTTCAGGATCCTCTTTGCTAACGTTCGCTGGATCAGTATCAGCCCAAGAACAGGCCCACCGAAAGGTGGCAGCCTTTTTTAACCAAGCATGCCAATAGGCGATGAAGAACCCGGACCTTCAAGAATGATCCTCGATGCCCGAGTCGACAAGTAGAATCACTAGGCAGGGTCCACCTCGGGATATGGCAATGGAAATGGCCTGCGAGCACATGGAGGAAGGTTTCTTCCAGTTTCTGATTTCACGAGTTCATTTAGCAAAAGACTTTTCTGGAGATCTCTAACCGGATACAAGAAGCGATGCCTCCCGGGTTGGGTTTAGCCCCAGGGTTCCGTGATGAAGCAGCTCGGGACTCAGAGCCATAGTGTTGTCCTTGCATCGAGTTCATGTCCGGCATACCAACCAGCAGAAGCGCTAGCATCGCCACTGCTTCTACTAGCACGAACAACGTCACCAGGGTTACTAACCATGAGACGAAGAAGGAACATAACACCCAACAACCCTGGCCAATTGCGAAGGCAAGAAGCAGCAGCTTCGGTAGGAGTCCCGAAGACTGGCTGGTCTAAGTTGTGGGGATCGACGGCTCAGGGTCTGGGACTTTGATTTCTGAGCTTCTAACATCTGGAGGAGTTGATCCCATGACTTTTCTTCCCATCCAGTATACAAGTTGCTTCATCTTGCTCTTTGCTCAGAGCATCACGCCTTCTCTCGGTGGCACAACAGAACAGCTCCACTCGCTCTCTAGCACTACTCGTCGTGTGGAAGACGGCTGTGCGCGAGAGGCTGCAGAGAACTGGACATTGCGAGGGGTGTGCAAGGTTGTTACTGGAGCTGTCATGAAATCGTGAACAGCTAAGAGGCGAGAGTAGTCTTGCAGAAGGGCGTGGGAACATGGCCTTGGCATGGCAGCCACTGCCAGCGTCGCGGCCACAGCTCGCAGTGCCAGGCTCCAGGAGGCCGGCTTAGGGTTTAGAGTTAGATGACTTCTTCTGTGTGGAGCAGGATTTGCGGGAAGTTTAAACGAGCTGTGACGTAATCTTGTTCAGGAATTGATTTAGGGAGCCGAAGAACCTGATACGAGTGTTGGGGCGTCCAGGGTGTAGGATTTAGGGTTAAGGTGGTAGGAATAATGACGGCCTTTAGGGTTTTACCGGGTGCGTCGGGTTGAGGGTAATGTATGAACCTGATCAAGCACGCCCTGGTCCATACGAGGGCACCTACTAACCTACTATGGATCCTCTGCCATTATTGGGGAGTTACGCCGAAGGATGTCTCATTATTTGGATCCCTTTATTCCAAAAAGCCCTGATAGCTGTCTCACTCCTGAATCGTTCAACCGCAAGGGTTCTTCAATTCATACCCCTATATTAAATCCTTATAGTAGCCCTTATAGTAACCCTTGCAGGCCCCTATTAAAAACCCTATAGATCCCTTGAAGGATCCCTTCAAGCAGCCCTTAAAGGATCCCTTATAGGAACCCTCAAAAGGAACTGTAGCCAAGTGTTAGGCTTCAGCCTTGCCCTGCGAGTCGAAGCCCATTAGGTCTTAAATGAAGCTCCTTGAGAACTTTTAGGGTTTAGGGCTTCGGGTTTAGGGTTAGAGTTGAGAACCATCCGTAGTGCCATTAAGCCACGAAGGCCCTTTCAAGGAAAGGATTTTCTGAACCCTTTCCCGGCTCGGCAGCGGAACGAGGCCGCTGCCATTTCAAAGTCCACACTAAGCCCTGAGCCCGAAAACTATAAACACCTAGACCCGGTAAACCCTCTACGCCCCTAACCACGAAACCCGCTAGACATAAAAATAAGCCTAAACCCTGAACCCTAAACCCCATAGACATAAAAATCCGCGTGACAGGTCTCTGAGCTGTCTGATCCGATGCGAATCTCCACGAGATGAGGCGGCGGAGCATTTATGGCTTTAGGGTTGAGGGTTTAGGGTTTGGGAGTGTCGACGACTTTGATATACAGGATTTAGAATCGTGGGTTCAATATGGGTTTAGGATAAACAAAGTATGCATGAAAGCTATTTACCAAACAGAAGACTTCGCTCATGCTGTCAAAATTATGCGAGAAAGCAACACAATATAGTTAAATGAATACATAAGTGCACAAACAACAGAGGGTTCAAAGACTACATACATATACATATCAATATGTGTATATGTATGTGTATATACTTATATGTATACATACACACACACACACACATATATATATATATATAGATATATATGCGTGTGTGTGTGTGTGTTTATGGTTCAGACCCGCGAGCGTGAAGCTAATTCTGTCGGCTCTGTTCGGACGGCGTAGACCTTCGTCTGTATTGGTCCTCTTCCACACACATCGGCTTGAGGGGTCAGATCTCCAAGAGTTGCAAACAGTAATTGGCGCTTGGTAGGGTTGTATGGTGCAGCATTACTATTTCGCAATCATTTGGCCCTGGCGAGTGGGTAAAGGTCAGTCAGTGAGTTATCCGGCTTGCAACAGAATATCTTGGAAAACGAGGCACCGTACAGAGCTACCTGTAGCGGAGTGTGAGATCAGCCCTCTTCCGACATAAACAACACCCTGTGCTGATATGCAGGGCTCGTGGGTGCGGATCAGTTGGGCATCTGCCCCTTGACACGCACCGCAAAGAACTTCATAGGTGGTGGGACACGCTGGGTTTCTTCCATGCCGCAGCTGCCGGAACAGCTGATGAATGCAGCCATAAAGATTTGCTGTTTTTGCCTATGTATGTCTACACTTTTATGTTCGTCAAAACAAATTCTGCCGCTGTGGGGTTCTGGCAGCTATGCACTAGAAGACCAGTCTGCACAACAAGGTAACTTGACAAGGTCTTAACATATGGTCATTACTTCGGTTTGAGACCACAGGAAGACCGAGAACACAGGAATACAGTTGCATAGCGGATGGAGCAAGCCCAGACCCAAGTCACCCCACACCCGAAACCTCTTGAGGCCAACAGCCCCAACCAGAGCTCGGCCCTAGACTCCTACTTGGAGGTTCATGGGTGGTTATAAATGGGGTTATAAGTCGGGTAACTGTAATTATAACCCATATTCGGGGACTTATAACTCCACTTATAACTACCCATGAACCCTAAACCCTAAACTTTATAGAACCCCTTAAAGGAACCCTTAAAGGAACCCCATAACTCCACTTATAACTACCCACGAACCTCCAAGTACATCTAAGGCCGCAGCGTGCGGCATCGCCT